TTTTAAGTTCAAGTCACTGAACCTCAACTACTAAGCTAAGATACCTCACAGGAAAGGTGAACCCATTCTAGTATTTTATAACTATCATTCTCTCCTAATATGAAGCCTACAGCTTACCAAATAAAGACGCTGTTTGTTTTGTATCTCTATCTTCAGAAGGGCCTCCACATTCCAAACCACACTAGGGAGAAATACAACTTCTGACTTGTTTTAAACCTTTTTTAAATGGTGCCTTCTCTATTACTGCATCATCCACAAGGGGCTCTGTATAAACTCAAAAGTAGAAAGTCTAGACTTACCCTAGTAAAACTGAAACACAGTAAATAGCAGAAAGAATTGCCTGAACTGACAGTTTGACAAACAAAATTAATGAAACAAAAATGTTAATGTCACAACCCTTCTAATTGATGTCAATACATTCTGCACAACAGGGCAACATAAATAATGCAGAAAGTCATCTAGAGGCTACTGACCCATTTCCTTTCCCCCTACACCCACTATCCAGCAGGTGGCATTTGAAACATTGATAACATTCAAAAGACATTCATAGCTCAATAAAAGTAACTGCTGCTGCCATCTCTAGATATACCTAATGGTCATCTATCAGCCTTCTGGATATACCTAATGGTCATCTATCAGCAATGAATGAAACCACTAAGAATCAACCCTTCTAATTAAAATAGCTAAAACATATTCATTCTACCTCACTACATCAGAAGTAATATACATAATTATTTCACTCTACCTTGAATGGCAGGCCAGGAATATAATGTTCACTTCCTCTCTCCCTGTAAAAAGGATATTACACAAAAAGAACCCTAAATATCTATTGCATGATGCAATAGTAAACTCCATGCAACCACCAATCTGACTTGGACATGTGCTTTCTGGTCAAAAGCAGTGCGACTCTAGTTATTGGGGGGGGGGGTATTTAAGTAAATTAAAGTGAAAAGATCAAACGATTCAAACTACCCCCCCTTACTACTTCCAGCTAGGAAGCAGCTTTGTTTCATATCTTAATCGTACCTTTGATGAAGAGGAACAAGGGACTGTTCTCTGTACTGGCACCTTCCTTCTGAATTCTCTGCCCAAAATTCTCATCCAAACCACCTACAGTATCAGTTTTGTTTTCATCAAGTAGAGATGAATCTGTCAGTGCATACTGCTCCTGCTGATTCTCTGCAAATGTTATCATTTTTCACTGTAACATTTCCTATGGCTATTTTCCAGAGTATTTAGAGGCTACTGATATCTTCTACAGATATTCTATGTTTTCAAAGACAAAATACTAAAATAGTGCACTAAATAGTTTACTACCATTGCCTTGTCATTATGTAGTACAAAAAAAGAGATCCACAACAATACTTTTATTCATCTAGATTTTGGATTATTGCTAATACATTCTACCCAGAGCAGCTGCTGGACATTTTTAGCAGTATAAAATGTTACCAGCTCTCTTGAGGAGTGGAGCAGAGTGAACATATCACCCCAACGTTATTGGGTTGCACAAGATACTAACAAGCAGTAGCCCAAATGAAAATTTTGTTCCCTACCTTTAAAGCCTAAACAACTTGGAACCTGGTTAAGCAACTGAAGTGCAGCAGTCATCTATGTGGTTGACAAAATCCAACTTCTCAAACACTGACTAAATGTAGATATCAAGTGAATGTTCAATAGAGATGTCACTGGTGTGAACTGCATGTTGCCTGGTTGTGTTTTTTGCCAAGGTTTATTTTCCTCTTGTCTTCTTGACTGCTGCATTGTTATTATGCAGTCATATATTTTGTTTGTTGGTATTATCTTATTTGTATTATTTTATTGCTTTTATTTTGATTTTATGTTGTGAATCACTTATTCTAATCATCTTGTCCAAATGATTCATTCCAATCATTTGAACAAGAACAAGTTATATAATTTGATTTTTTCATGGAGAAGGATTAGAATTCGATAACTACACATACTTGAGACATCTAGTTCTGATGTGCATGAACAGCAGCTTTTATACTTCAACTTTATATTCCTTTGATGGTTTGAACAGACTTTAAAAGTATTTGTTAGAAATCTCAAATAGAATCACATCAAAGCAGCTCAAAAAAGGCTCTTGAATTAAAACTTTACAAACTTGATTGTAAAGTAGAACCTGTATCTAAATTTTGAAGGAGAACATTTGACTGCAATATCTGGAAGTTGAGTCATGGCAACTGGACTTCTTTATTAGGTTGAAATGTTTCACTACTAATCCAAATAGCTTCTTCAGTCTGAGGAGAGTTGGTAGGAGACCCCTGATATAAACTCCACATTGGTTTCACTTCCCCTTGGTCTGAATAGGCCTGGTGGATGGAACAAGTACAGCGGTGCCTCGCAAGACGAATGCCTCACAGGACGAAAAAACCCACAAGATGAATGGTTTTTGCGATCGCTGTGGTGCCTCGCAAGACAGCTTCTTCTATGGCCGTGCTTCGCAAGATGATTCCCCCCCCCCGCAAGACCAATGCCTCGCAAGATGAAAATAATTCATTCATCTTGCGAGATTCCCATAGGAATGCATTGCGATGCATTCCTATGGGAAACCGCTTTTCGCAAGACGAAAATTTCGCAAGACAGCGCTACTCGCGGAACGAATTACTTTCGTCTTGCGAGGCACCACTGATACTTGGGTTGAGTGAAAATCCCATTTCTCAGTCTTTCTCCATCCATTGTCATGGGTTGTTAGCAGTAATTAACAGTGGTCTTTCTGGTGTGTGGTTCTTATCTCGGTGGAGAAGGACTGCAGAAGTGAGATTTTCACTCACCCCCAGTCCTGTGTCCATCTAACAAGCTGATTCAGACCAGGGGCAAGTGAAACCAACATGGATGATATATCAGGGATCGCCTACCAACTTTCCTCAGAAGCTACTTGGATGAGTAGTGAAATGTTTCAACCTAATAAAATAGAAGGCCAGTTGCCATGTCTCAACTTCCAGATAACCTCACCTGGATGACTGAGAATCTTCACAGATATTTGACTGCAATAGTGAAGCTGCTTTAAATCCACACACAAAAATGTGAACTGGAACTGAATACCCCTTATTATTCAATGAGACACAGCTTTTCTCCAATAGCATGACTGCATAGCAATCAGAAAAATGAGAACTAGATGAGTATTTGATCCTCTGAGCACAGGCAATATATATATATAACAGGAAGCACTGCCAATTAGTGTCTCCTGTCATGAGTCCTAGGAAAGGTATCTCTTCGTCATACTAAAAACACATGTGATTACAGAACTGCATGGCTTTAACCAGACTATTTGAGGGATAATGCCTAGGACAATAAAGGGTTATCTTTTGTGATGAATTAGCTCTGGATGACATATTGAGAAGTCTATGAGCAAAACAAAACAAAACTACAAGTGTAGGAAGAGAGATGAGGAGAGACATAAAAATAATAACACCGAGCATCAACTAGTGGGTTTTAACAAGACACAGCACTAGAGAATATGTAACTTTCATAAACTGAGGGGTGGCTATTTGCAGCCCTCCAAATATCTCATTAAGAGACTTAAATGACCTCCAGAAAAGATATAAGTAGCGAAAAATAGAATACAAGTTCCTACAAAGGTGTGATGCAATTCAAAGTGTGATCCAGGCAAATGTTCTGATTTATTAGTACAGGAAAAAAATCAGTCATCTTAGCTAAGATTCAAGCTGAACAAAATTATGTTGATTCTACCTCAAATAAAGATAAAGAATTTAATTTCTGAAATAGAAAAATCCACTATTCATGACAAGCTACTTCTGCAACAGTCAGACACAGGTTACCATCTATGAATAATGAGAAAGAGGAGGGGTGCAAAACAGGAGAGCTATGACCTCACTGTAGTAAGATGTAGGTACTGCAGCACAAAATGTGAATAACCAAGTACACGGAAATGTCTCTCTGCAGTGTATGCCCAAAGGAAATATTCTAAAGCCTTGACACAACAGTGACGGGTGTTGTGGCTGTAACATAAACAAGCATTTACTGCATCGAATCCCCCTTCTAAATGCAGAAGTGATGCTCTCAATGCACACCACAGTGCCTTTCCGACAACTCACCCACACCAAGAAAACAAAACAAGAGCTACAATAAACAGTGGTTGCCCCATACGCAGGAGAAACAGCGAGTAACTCGGCAGGAATGAGGCCACATTATGAGTTCAGGTACGAAAAAAAACCCAACTCTTTCCAAAGTAGACCACAGCTTCCCATTCCTAGTAAACAACCCATTTGCGACGGCGGTATCCCTCTCAGGCAGGTCCCTAGATGTCCCAAATCCTTGAAGGGACCCCATGCGAAGCGGATCCCCACATACAACAGATGACCGTGCCACTTTTCTCTCTCAATCTTTCTGCTAATTAATAGTGACTCCCCCCCCCCAAATCTTCCACCTTAAGGCTCCCTGAAGAAAGTTTTACAACATTCTCTTGTTCTATCGGGGCCTTTCCGGGTACAGTCACAGTTTGGCAGAAAACAAAAAGAAGCCCAGGAGAGAAGAAGGGACCCGACAGTCCTCCTTGGCCCCTTGAAGCGAAATGCAAAGGTTTCAAGGTAGGGAGGAAACACAAAACCCTCCCGGGGCCAGCGAAAGGCCACCAGGACCCTCCACCACTTTCGAGCAGACGACTCTCGGGCAACAAAGTGGTATCGAAGCGGCAGGGAGGAAAAGGGTTGGGGGCGAACATTTTTAGGTCCAGCCAGGGACGAACTCCAGGTATGGTTTAAAAAAGGGAGGGGGGTGAAAGGGAGGACAGAAAGATAAACCTCCCTTCCCTGAAGTACAAACAAACATCCCCTTCGCCTCCTTCAAGGAAGAGCCATAAGCCTGCCTCACATTCAGAGACGGGAGACTGAAGGGAAGAACTCAGGACGAGGTAGTTTCTCACGTTAACTCTCGAAGTCCCCCCAAAGCGAAGAAGCTCTACCGTCTCCCCCTCACCCTCAGGCCAGCACGGGTCAATGAGGGAAGCGGAGTTACTATACCTTGCCGAGCTGCTTCCTGATCCCACGGCTGTCTCCTCAGCAGTCGTCGCCCATACCCCTCACCCGCATCCCACCCACCCCTGTACGGCACCGCAGGCTGCGGCCTCCTGCTTCTCCTCCCGCCCCGCTCAGGACATGGTTTCTTCCTGCTCTGGGTAGTTAAAAGGACGTAGCGAAGTTGCGAGGAGGGCGCTACCACCCTGGCGCGGCGGGGGTGGGTGGAGGAGGAGGATCAGGCAAGACGACCCCGCCACCCCCGAATCTCTTCTGGCTCGCCTAATGGCGGCGGCGGCGGCTGCAGTGGCCCAAAGCAAAATAAACCCCCATACGGCAGAGAGACTGGAGCTCGCACGTCAGCCCGCCCGGCCTGAGGCCCTAGCGCGTACTCATTGGTCGCGAAAGAGCCTCCAGCCCGCCAATGGAACGGCGCCTCTTTGGAGACGAACAGCTGATGTCATTCCAGTCCTCGGGACGCCTCATTACGAAGATGCTGAGGGGGAGTCTTTGCTATCAGGGAACACGGGAGAGCGAGAGAAAATCGCTGTGCTCTCATCTTCGTGTCCTCCGGTCCTGGACCCACAGGAGTCAAATGGGGGCCTCCCACCTCGACTTCCCTGCACAGGCAGGGTAGAAATACCCGTTTAACAACTGGTTGCCCCTTGTAGGGCAGTTTTTCTTCCCTCGAAATACCCAGATGGGGAGTCTCTAATTCAATGCCTAGATTTTTTTGCTTTCTGGGTCTGCAAAAAGAGAAGGTCTTCGGGCAGCACCCCAAAAAAAACTCCTAGTCCACACAGCTCCCCTTTAATAGCATTGGGTGCGTCACCCCCTTATCGACGTTCTGTGTTCTGCTGCTTCAGCTGAGACAGGAGCTTCTCTTGTACTGTACTGTACAGTATTTCTGTACATTCCCCGAAAATTTAGTTCCCTCTGAAAGATGGCTCCAGCTCACGGAAGCTGAATTACTCAAAGTGGAAGTAATGGTTTACCTAACCGTGTGTCACCGATTTCTGCCTGGAAGGGTTGCCTGGAGCAGTGGTTCTTAATAACCTTTTTGAAAGAAACGCTCCCTTGAGCCATTGAGGAAGTTATCATTGCCCCCCCTCCCTGTGGCAGCAGCATGGTGGTGCGGGGAGGGGGCGATGATAGCTGCCTCAGTGGTGTGGCATTGGTGGAAGCACATCCACTGCCAGCACAAGCTGCTCTGGATCCAGTGGCGCGAGGAGGGGGGCGATGATAACTTCCTCAATGGCGCCAGCGGTGGTGCAGTGGCATTGGTGGCAGCGCATCCACTGCCAGCACCAGTTGCTCTGGATCCGGTGGCGTGGGGAGGGGGCGAAGATAACTTCCTCCGTGGCGCCAGTGGCAGGGCAGTGGCATTAGTGGCAGCACATCCACTGCCAGCACCAGTTGCTCTGCATCCAGCGGGGAGGGGGCAATGATAACTTCCTCAATGGCGGTGGTGCCTCTATCACCCCCTTCTGTTCCTTCACCCCCACGTCGCCCCTTTTCGTTCCATCACCCCCCTTAAAAATGAAATCACCCCCTGGGGGGTGATAACACCCAAGTTAATAACCACTGGCCTAGAGGGTTTGGGGAGGCTCAGGTAAACGTTTTCTTTGGAGCCCTTGCTGCTGTCCACATCAAGGCCCAATCCTTGTGCACAGAGGGGAGTTTGAGAGCAACGGGACGGGGGTCACAAGGTCCTGAGGAAAAATGGTTCCAATTACCACCCTACAATCATATCTGAGCAGACCTACTAAACCAGAGGTAGGCAAAATGTGACTCCATATATTAGTGGGTGGTAATTGGTGGGCTGTAACTTTCCATAAGATAGTGGGTAGGTGTCAGACGTTGGGAGTTCAGTTCCCCACTGTGCATCCCAGATGAGCCAGCCTGTGTAGTTTTGGGCAAGCTGCCCAGTCCCAGAATGCTACCAGAAGAAGGAAATTATAAACCATTTCTGAGTATTGGCTACCTGGAAAGGATCGTCATAACTCAGAATTGACAATGTCACACAATCATGACACCTCACTAGTGGGTCTGCTTACAGAACCGATGGAAGATCACTCTTTCACCATTTCTGTTCTATAAGGTCTCAGGCAGACAGTCTTTCCCATTTCAGCTACCTACCAGACATCACTTTCAGGAAGCTCAGGACCTTCTTGATGATTGTGTCATATGATCTTTACCACTGAACTATGGCTCTAGCAAGAACAAATGTTTTTGGCAAGTGTGCTGTGAGTAAATTATAAAGCATTGGATAATGCTATTGTAGGGTATACTGTAAGTAATATTTCTTTAATTGTTCTTTAACATTGTAATCTATTATTTTAGCTTCTAATCTTGTTTCTTTTTTAAATACTGTAAGCCAGCTTGGATCCTTTTTAAGAGAAAGGTGGCATATACATATTTAAATAAAAGTGCATTCTTCAGTAAATAACTTGAAAAATTGTGCCCTTATTGAACAGAACTTGTGGAGCAGATGGGACCCCAGACCTGATTTTGTTTATTCCAAATCTAGGCTGATGGGTGCTATCTACCTATACCACAGTCTCTTGCTGCCTAAACCACACGTGGCATTCATGCCAAGAGGAAGTCCATATTCACAAGAACTCACCAGCAGTCTAATCCTAAGTATAGTTACTTAGAAGCTTAATCTCACTGTCTGCAATAGAATTTACATCTTTGTATGGCTATAATCCTGTGCACCTTTACCTAATAATAAACCCCACTGAACTCAGTGAGACTAATTCTTGGAATGAAGCTGTAAATATATTTATTTGTAAATATGTAAATCTGTGCTTTTAACACCTCATATTTTCTTTGCAAACTGAAGAACAAGAGTGTAGCCTTTGCTTTAAAGAAAATAACTTACCATGATTTTTGCAAACAGCAATATAGATGACTGGGCAAAGCTGAGTTAGCCATAGTGACACAAGCCTTAGTTACATCCTATTTGGATTATGTCTACACACTATTTGGAGCAGCCTTTTGAAAGTGTTTGGGAAATTCAGTGGATGCTGTGGCCAGATTAACTGGGGCTGGTTACAAGGAGCATATAATTCACCTGTTAAAACAACTCTATTCTCTGTCAGTCCATTTCTTGCCCCAATTCAAAGTGCTCTTTTTGATCTAGGAAGCCCTAAATGGCCAATCTATCTGAAGGACTGTATCTTGCTATATGAGTCTGCCCAGGTTTTAACATCATTGAAGAGATTTTTCTCTCTGTCCTGCCACCTTCACAAGTGTGTTGGATGAGGACACAAGGGAGGGACTTTTCTGTTGCTACCCAAACCTGTGTAACTCCCTTCCACAGGAGACCAGGCTAGCCCCTTCTTTGTTGTTCTGCATACAGATTGAACCAGACAGGGAGATGAAATACAAACTTGCCTAATACCTTTGCTTATGTGAAGCCATTCTGTTTCTCTATATTATTTTCTAACAATAGCTTCTTGTCCAGAATATAGGGCAATCAAATGCACATGCATTTCTTTTAGAACAATCAATAGTTTCCCATGATCCACAAAGTCAAAAGCTTTGCTGTTTCCTATAAAATATAGGATTCTTCAGAAATACAGTTCTTCAGAAATTGTTTGATATTCTCAAGTAGCCAATATATATTCACAATATGGTCTCTAGTGCCTCTCCCATTTCTGAATCTGGCTTGAGCACTGGGCATTTCTATGGTATATATTCATATAGTATATCGTCATTAAAAGAGAAAATTCAGGAAGTATTTAGTTATTACAAAATGATCTTGTTTCAATAGTTTATAAATTATCTTGCTCTGTTTTGTGATTGGTCATCAGGTACTAAGCACAGACATTATTTGCAAGTCTGACTTATCAGTCATAAAAGTCTAGCTGAATCACACTGCTAGAATGGTAACATAATTGAAGCTAATGAACCTAATGATGGGTTACCTATGTCATAGAGTTTGGCCCAGAGAGGGCACAAAGGATTTCAGGATTTGGCACTGGGCCACTTACTAAGGCATGGGCCTCAACAGACACATGATGATGCTAAGAATAAAAGTATCAGTACCACTTCACAGAGTGCTTTAATCACTATGTCCCTATTAGAAGAATTAATAGCTTCCCCATTAGTAAGATTAGGAAAAAAGCAAAAGAAAAGCACAAAAGACATATAGCGCACACACACCGCTTCTATACAAGTTTGTAAAATCTACTATATGTATCAAGAAAAACAAAACTATGAGAGGAATGTTTCTTCAACCAATTGTGAGACAACTCAACTTCATCTACCCTACAAGCAATTATTCCTTCTGAGAATAATGTTTACATTCTAATAAGAAAACATACTCCTTCAAAACTCCTCTCCAATAAGGCCTCTGACACAACTCCTTAGTTTTCATCCCTAACCGAAACCGAACCTAAGTATGTGTGCATACATGGAACACCAGATCTCTTCACCTATTTACTCTTATCATATTGCCCTCCCCATGTCAAATTTTAGAATTTAAGCTGTCTGAAACAGCAACTTATCTTTTCCTTGGCCATCACTGAAGCACAGCTTTTACTGATAGAGCTATAGAGATAAAGCAATATACTGTAAAATTATCCTTGAAGCAGTGGATAATTTGACATATTCTAATCTAGCTTCTTTATCTGTAGCTTCAAAATCATAAGAATCAACTGACTTGTACAATTGATTGTAACTGATTGTAATTTATGCTGGTCTGTGCCAGCTGGTGTCTCTGCATCTATGGTAGGAATGACATAGGCATGAAACTGCCTGTTTCACATGTCCTGCTTTAATGTAAATCCTCACAGGATTTAAAGCAGGACATGGAGCACTGTCCAGCTCACAGGCTGGCCAATGCTGGGAGGCTTTTTGTCCCTACTGACAGCACAAGGGTTGGAATAGCCTCACACACTTGCCATGCAGGAAAAAAATTAGCCACTGGAGCTGCTTCCACTGCTGGAAAAAACAACATGGCCATCCAGCCAGTGCTGAGATGGCTGAGAAACCTCCCTGGCACCGGCTGGGAAATGATGTTGTTCTTGTCAGAGGGGCTGCCTGAGCAGCTCCATTTTTACTGTGTATCCTGTTTCCCTGAAAACAAGACAGGGTCTTACTGTATATTACTTTTTGCTCCAAAAATGCATTGGGGCTTATTTTTAGGGGATGGTTTTTTCCTGTATAACAATCTACATCCATTCAAATACAGCTGTGTCATCTTCTGGTTGCTGCACAATGGTGAAGGGCGGGGTTTCCCTCAACTGGGGCTTAGTTTCAGGGTAGGGCTTATATTACGAGCATCCTGACAAATCATACTAGGGCTTATTTTCAGGTTAGGTCTTATTTTCAGGGAAACAGGGTCGAACCCCAACTCAGCTCTGTCAGTAG